ACATAACAAAGTAAAGTTGCATGTTTGTATGTGTAGAGTTGACTTCAACACCACAGGCCTCCAGTTTCTACTCAACCCTGGTTTCCTGCAGCATCTCTGGGTCAAACAGACGTCTATGTGAACAGAACCTGTGACGGACATAGGAGGTTACAGCTCTGAGGTCTGGATCATTACACATCTCTTCAAACCAAATGCTTTATTTTTTAAATGCATATCAGCTCAGTGAGTGTCCAGGAGCGCTTCTAACGCTGTGCACACTGCAGTATTAACAGTTAGATAACGCCTTGATATTCCAAAAACATTTAATGTACTTTAAGTCGAGATATATATGCTGTTTTGTATCTTTTATTTTTGTCATAGATTCTGCGATGCCAAGACTTTTTTTTGTTTTTTGTTTGTTTTGTAAATTTTAACAGCATCCATTCTGTAACAAAGTGTTACCGCTTGACTGTGCTCCTTTTGTTTCATTTAGTTTTATTTTATCAAAGAGCCGATGTCCTGTATTGACTGCAGGCTTACGTATATATTTGACAAAAGAATATTGTATGTTTAATAATAAAAAAAAAACAACACAAAAAAGACAAAAAAAATTGAAGAAAAAAAGAAGAGGAGAACATTGGGGGAAAAAAGTGTAATTTATATTTTAAAACTGCATGCACAAGGCTGGGAAAGTCATATTTAGAATAACAAATGGCAGTGCCTTTTTTGTACTCGAGACATTCACCCCAAATGTAAATGGTTTTATAAAGACTTTAAAAACTGTAATGTTACAGGATGAAACAAGCGACATCTGTGTTGGGTCACGTTCACACTGCAACTGCAACCTAATTCAGATTGTTTCCCTTCTCTGCTGTATGATTCGTGGATTTTTTTTTATGTAGATACAGTACAGGGGGAAGAAAAGAATACATTGATTAATCAGTTTTTCCAAACCTAATCATGAATCTGATCCATATGTGACCATATTATTGATGCTGGTTTTATGTTGCATATCCACAGAACTGATCACTGTGTCTTATGTTTGATGTTCATAGACGACAAACAAAGATAATTTCATTATTTTAGTTTTTTTGGGGGGGGGGGGACTCTTTAAATGTGGCTGCAGCACCCACATCATCCCCACAATGATAAATAAGTGTTCGTCTTGGTTAAGTTCTGCCACCACTTAGTATTATTTTCATTATTGATTAATTGGCCGTTTCTTTCAATTAATCTTTCTCGATATTTGATTAATCATTTGGCCTATAAATTGTCAGAAATGAGTGTGTCTTCAAATAGCTTGTCTGACCAACAGTCCCAAACTCGAAGATATTCAGTGTATAAAAAAGGGAAGCAGACTACAATAGATATATATTGGCACATTAGAAACTGTTGTTTATAAAATTCAGTCACAGCATAAAGTCAATAAAACTGCATTTTCACAGCAGAAGATTGTTTTCTGTTTTGCTCTGTACATTTAAAGCGATGAGCTAATGTCATAAATAATTTTGATTAGTGACAAAAGGACAGTGGTATCAGTTCAGTACTCTGTATCAGTGGATAAGTTCAGGATCAGTATCGGTTGAGACAATCTCCCAAAATCCAACAAGTAAATTATCGTTTCATTTATCTGAGCAGCACCTGGTCTGAAAACCCTTCACCAGTGCAACAACATAAATCAACTCTAAAGTAAAATTACATCAGTGATATCCGGAGTATTGCTCATCTTTTACAACCTCACAGTCAAGTCATTAAAATAAACTTTTTGAGCGTCAGCAGTCAAAATAAATCAGCTTCACGTCTCTAAAAAGCAAATGTGAACATTCAAACTCGAACTTGAATCTGATTTGCACGTTGAGTGCAGTGTGAACGTGGCCCGCGGCGGTGAACTCGGTCTGTTGTGTCTGTGCTCTGTTGGTACTTTTTTAATGCTGATATGAAGATATCAATTATTCTGGTCTGTACAAAAAAAAAAAAGAAATGTGTGAATGGCTGCGTGACAGTGAGGATGTTTGCGTTTGTGTGAAGACATTCAAGTGTTCAATGTGTCTTGCTGTAATTTTGTCGCGACGTACCAGAATGCTGTGACTTAGCATGCCCCTGTTATACATAAAAATACAAGTTGTAACTCCTCCAGCGTGTCTGTGTGATTCAGCCTGAGGAGACTTATAACTTTAACTAATTTTACTTGTCTCAAGGAGTACTCGTAGTAGTACATTTTCACAAGTATTGTACTTATGATCAAGTTTGAGGTACTTGTATTTGAGTAACACTTGACTGTACTCCTTCATTTCATAAATTCACACATAAAATCACATTTAAGAAATTGTAAAAACTAATGTAACAGGATGAAACAAGCGACAGCTGGGTCACGTTCACACTGCAGCCAAGTGTCCTAATTCAGATTCTTTCTTGTATGATTGTTTTGTTGCTGCCCAACAGTTTTTAAAAGAACAGATCAAATTATTAGTCATTGCTAAAACATTTTATGGTTCCAGCTTCACAAATGTGAAGACTTCATGTAGCTTTAAATGTGTTGATAATGTTGAGGTTTGGCCTGTCGGTTGGACAAAACGAGCATCATGAAGGTGTCACTTTGGGTTATCGTGACGCCACTTCTCACTATTTTCTGAAGAATTGATTAATGGAGAAGATCATCAGATAACCGCCACAGCGGGCATTTTAATGCTCTAAATACTAAATACTTGTAATACATTAAGGACATTTTTCTGATTATACTAAACATTCTTAAGTAACAATCCAGAGGAGAAAGATGTGCTAACCATCGAGTTGCATTATTGGAAGGTATGAACTTTGGTGTTGCTTTCGGCTGTGAAAGCAACACCAAAATTCATACCTGTAACTTTGTATAGAACATTTCAACGACAAGGCAATTCAAAAGTGCTTTACATAAAACATACAATAGAAAATAGAGTTAAATAGAAAATAAAAAGATGATACAGGATACTAAAAGTTACAGAGCAGTTTCAGCAGACCTGCAGTTTTCTGGGAGTTTGTTCCTTTTTACGTGGTGCATAAAACACTTCTACATGTTTGGACTCCATCTTTGTGTAAAATGTAGTTTTTTAGTTAATTTATTTTTTTCATAGGTTTACAAAGTGTGGTGATATACAACCACAGCCTTTGAATTGTTTTTGACCCTTTAGGTACTTTTTCACTAAACAAAATCTGAAGTAAGGAAGTGTTGAGGATGGGCAGTTTTCTGCCATAGTCTCATTTTTGAAATTTCCACTGGAGGGCGCCAAAGTGACAGACAGTGACTTTTTATGATAAA